ACCAGTGATGTTGAACATTTTTTCATGTTTATTTGCTATTTCTACTTCTTTAGCATTTGGTTATATTTTGAAATAAAGACTAATGGAAGCTTTGGTTTTTCTTCTCTCTTTCTCTCCCTCCCTCCCTCCCTCTCTCTCTCTCTCTCTCTTTCTTTCTTTCTTCCTCTCTTGACAGGGTCTAACTGTGTAGTTCAGGCTGGCCTTGAACTCATGGCAATCTTCCTGCTTCAGCCTGCTAAGTTCTGAGATTAGAAGAGTGTGCCACCATGCCTGGCTTTGGTTTCTCTTTTCAACCTTTTTTTTTTTTTTTACTAAAAAATAACCCAAAGCCAGGGCTTTAGCTCAGTGGTTCCACCACTTGCCTCACAAGCGCAAGGACCCAAATTTGGTCCATGGTACCAAAAAAAAATAAATAACCCATATAGAAAGCATATAAAACATAGATACATTAACAAATCATAAAGCAAACAATTGTAAACATCAAGAAATAGATATAATGAGTATTCTCAGAAGTTCTGCCTGTTTGCACCCCTCTATCATAGTTCCTTTCCTCCTTAAATAACTACTGAACTGCTCATTACAATAAATAGTTCCTGCCTTTGACATTCTATCCCTAAATGCTATGGTTTATTTTGCTTGCTTTTGAATTCTGCAGAAATAGCATAGTATGGTAAATATATATATTCTTTTGTTTCTGGTTTTCTTCAGCATGTTTTTTTTTTTGACAGACAAGAGCATTTTAATTTCCAAGCTTCTTTTTATTCATCAAGTTTTACTAATGAAGTTTCATTAAGTTTATACATGTTAGGTATACAATATGATGACATTCACCATTGGGAATTTGTATCTTTACATGTTATATCTTGGTAGCATGTTTTTTAAAAAAAAACCGAACAATTTTATTGTATGATGTTATAGATTTTTCTTCTGTGTGAAAATAGTTAATTCATTTATTGTTAATGAATGTTAGAGTTATTTATAGTTTTTAGGTCTTGGGTTGTTCGTTTTTTGGTGTTTTCAGACAGGTTCTCACTATGCAACCCAGGCCAGCCTAAAACTCCTTGTGATCCTCCTCCTCCTCAGCTGAGATTGCAGGTGTGCACCCCCACACCTGGTATTTATTGGCTACCAGACCTGGTATTTATTGTGAATCATGCATGTCATTATAAATATTCCTGAACATGTAGAAGAGTTACCCTAATATAAATAAATGTATATATAAATATATA